AGTGGTCAGAATCTGGACGCCTTTCATGTACTTTAAAGTCTGAAATTGTATTAAGTATATCAGCTTGAACTGCAACGTAGTCTAATACAGATTTTCCCTTACTTGGATCTAGGTTAATTTCATTTATGTATCTATAGTATGTAAATTGACCAATGTTTTTATCATGAAAAAATCTGCCATTTAGGATTCTTAAATTAGATGCCTTGCATAGACTTATGAATTCATTGCCATGTGTCTGGCTTATTGCCTTTATATTTTTATCCATTGAAACACGGTTATGAAGAGGGTCACTTGGTTCATGGTGATGATTATTATTATTTATATAGTGATCATTTAAAAAATAAGAATTGGTAAACTGATCATTCGATCCATGAATGTCAATATTCATATCTGATAACTGGGCAGTGCGGGCATTCATGTCTCCGCATATGATTGTTTTACCAGAAAGTTGATAGGAGGCAATTGATTTTTCTAAAATGTCAAAGTTGTCAAAATGTTCATAAGTTGAACCTTTATGAGGCATATAAACAAAACAAATATAAATATCATTCTCTAAATTGTAAAAAGAAGACTTAACTCTTAACCATACAAAGAAATCATGAGTCTGTTTTAGCACTTCAATTGAATTATAACAGTCATCTTTTATGAAGACAGCTATGCCTCCAGAATAAAAATTTGAGTTAGTGTTTTTGGTTTTTCTTGCGAGATTATGTACAGTATAACCATTGAATGATATGTTGTCACATGGATCCAGCCATGTCTCACTTAACAGGATCACTGAATATTTACTGAAGAGCTCATAAATATCACATCCGTCGTATAACTTATCGGAAATTCTGTTAATATTCCAAAATAGAAAATTTATATCACCTTGACTCATATTATCATTTGTTTGCTTTAAATTACCATTTATGTTGTTGTCAGTTGATTTAAGCCTATAGCGCAGATCCTGCGACTGGGCATTCAACTGTGTTGTTATAGGACTAGAGGGTTGAATATTGATTTCATTTTGGGAAACTTGACTTAACGTGGTGTTTAATTCCATATTGTGGGGGCCCAAATCAGAATTATTTGGAGTTACATTATTTGCACAAAATGGAGCTTCACTCATTATCATATGATTTGAATCATGGAAATGAATAAAATTGTGTTTAATCTCATTTAAAGAATCACTCATACATTCTGTGTTTGAGATGCTATCACACTGATCAGTGTTTATAACTTCAGTCCAGTTCGAGATTTGCGAGGGTTTCCCATGCTTACTGCCTCTGCATAGGAGTTGTGTGTTGAGTTAATGATAGACAACATTGCATCTACCAACCGAGTTCTTCCAGTGAAGTTAAAGTGAAGTTTGTCATTATATAGTACATTCATGTTAGGGTCCGGTGATGTTGAATCGTTAATTCTGTTGATGTTAATGAAATGAAAGCCTTTCTTCGTGGCAAAAGACTCCATCTCTCTATTGACTTGGTCTATTTTCATATTCATTTGTTTCACTTCCTGAGGATTGGGATGATCTGCCCTGTGGTGCAGTCCACATAGAGTTATTGTGGATGTTGGGTGCTGGTTTTGAGCTGTAATTGCCAGATTTTTCAACTCGTAAGTAATGGTTTGAGCAGAGTCAACTTTAACGTTGTTTGTTCCAAAACCTAGGAATTTGTGATCTGTTGATTTGTCAATGTCACCTTGTTGTATGATACGGGTGGCATCTTCGATGTTAGCACCACTATACACTGATGAGGTCACTTTCATGTTTTTCCCCTTTGATCTATTGTGCATCATACCTGATAGTTTCTTCCCATTTGAGGAGTACATTATATGGACAGTTGTTGGGAGCTGCTTGGAACTATTGATATATTTTCTTGGGGATGGTTTTGGGGGGCTCCTTGAAGGTACTTTGGGGGGTCTGTTAGGGGGTTGTGTAACAGGCCTCTTGGCAGTAGAGGCTGATATTCCTTCATTGTCATGAGTGGGGAATCGCTTTGTAGCAGGATTTTTGTTTACAAATCTCTTGGGTATGCTGGTTTTTGAGGTAGTCTGTCCTTTTTGGGAAATGGTTGGAGGCGACATTGATTGTGGGAGTGACTGATCAAAATCATGACATCCCATCTGTTGAAACCTCTCAATAAGGGCGACATTTTTCCTGTGTTGTGTTGCAAGGTCTGCTTTAAGCCCCTGTATTGTAGTTATTTGCCACTTCTCGTTTGATTCATAGCATTCAAGCTTACTTGCCAGATCTCTCGTCTCTTGTTCATGAAGTTGTTTTGCCATCTGAATTTCATCTTCTTTCTTCTTGTCAGCTGATTGAAGCCTATAGTGCAGATCCTGCAACTTGGCATTCAGCTGAGTAATGTGTTGACTGTGTTCAATAGATTCCTCTTCAAGCCTCTTTTCAAGAGAGATAATCCTAGTCCTCAGTTTTTTGTTTTCACATTGTAACTCCGATGTTATGCTTGGTGTGTCAGGTTTAGAAGTGGATTCTGTCTGAGTAGGAGATATATTTGATAAATGCAAAGATCCTACCTCTCTAATAACTACAAATTTCAAATCAAATTCCTAAAATGTTGTTTAGTTTTTGTGAAATAAGACAATCAATTTTTGTACCACGATGCCCATGTCAAGCAGTGTGCCTACTAGGCACGCAGTTTGAAACTCTGAAAAACTGCGCGCATATTTCAAAATGTGAGACGGGGAGGACACGACTCCCAAAAAGAGCCAAAATACAAAAATACAAGGTTAGTCTCGTTCTAAAGATAGTACCATTCTGTGAAGATGAACTTAATTTACTCATAGTACTCAATGTTTTTCCCGATGTAAACCTAGTTTTCTCAATATAAGGGTCTTAAGTAACTTCTGTGTTCAAAATTTACAGTGTAAAGTTTTATCTATGTCTTTTTATCGTCATTTGCCGTTTATTCAACCATTGTGTCTGTGTATGCTAGAATATATAGGATCACTCCATCTGAATAAAGCAGCAAAGTTTGTGTTCAAAACAATAATACGCCATTAACGTGATTTAAACATTTTTCTTGTCAAACTGCGCGCCTATATTCACATGTATTTCCCAAACTGCATGCATAATATTTCCAAACTACTTGCCTATCCAAGCTTGTTTTGTATTATTAGAAAACATAAGTGCCATACAAGGCACATATGTGTCTAATAGTAGAACCCCATAATTGAAACACTATGAGAGTCCATCCACCAAGATGGTGATCTGAAAATAAAAGTTTTTTTCGTTCCCAACTTAATTGTCACTTCTATTATACATTTTGACATTCAATATGAAAATCTCATAAAATCTGACGATAAAGCAAAATTTCCAAAGCTACATCGAAAACACCTACACGTGCCTCTGTAGAAATTCCAATGATAATATGTAGTTTTAATAGTGTATGCGCACAGTTTGTAATTTCTGGCTAAAATAGGCGCGCAGTTTGTGGTTTATTTCTTTTTAATCTCCTGATTATCTGTTTTATCTCAAAATATTTTGAATTATACATGATAAATGTGTAAGGATTTAAATATAAAACGAGTCTAAAGTATTTGTCATTTATGTTTAAAGTGCTAGATCGATTTACGTATAAATTCCCGTTAAATCAGTGACGAAAATGCCATTAATCTGCTTATGTTTTAAAACTTAGATTCATTTGCTCATAGTTTTTGCTAGTATTTGCAAGATTCGTATATTCGCCACAGAATAAACGCATTGAACAAGAAAACAATGCAGGATGAATGTCTTTAAATTACGTTTCAAAACACAGACTCCAACTTAAATGATGCAATGTTCTTAGGCACGCAGTTTGTGATCGAATCAAACTGCGCGCCTAAGTAGGCGCGCAGCTTGACATGGGCACCGTGATAACTGAAACTTTAAACGAGGAGGAAAATTAGCGCAACAGATTTTGGACAGTCATATGTTTGATTTTGGCCATTTTCTAAGGGATTTAAACAGGTGCATATGTAAGGCCAATGCATTACCTCTAGGAAAATCACTTCTAGAGATGATAAAATAATTTGGACTTTGAGACAGGGTAGACCCTTCCATCCCTGCTTTTTAATTTTTCTTGCATCAATATGTTTTGACACACAGTTAATCCTTTAAAAGGAATAAGTGATTCCTTTTAGATAAAGTGGAAAACAATATTTCCCATAGGGAAAAATCATTGCTTTCAGCTAAGTTTGGTCACCCACTGTAAACCTGCATAGTATAAATGCGGCAATTCGCTTGTCACTTGTAGAAAGTCATTAATCACACATCTGGTGTTCTTGCACATGCGAAGCGGTAATAAAATCTGTCTTAAAACATATGACTGTTGTGTTTGAAGGCTAGGTCATGTTGTATGGTATGGTCAGAAAAAAACATGTGGGTGGGTTGTTTGCATCTACCCTGTCTCAAAGTCGAAATTATTTTATCATCTCTAAAAGTGATTTTGCCTAACATATGTTAGAAAATGGCCAAAATCCAACATATGACTGTCCAAAATCTGTTGCGCTAATTTCCCTCCTCCTTTTAGCCAATGAGCATCTCTTATCTGTCTTAAAGTAAACAAACATAGCATAAGGCTGTAGCAGACCATGTGGTTCTGTATATGCTGGACATTTAAATTGACCACATTAGCAGTGATTGGCTGCGCTGTGACAGCTTGATTAATAGCTTAACCGTGGGTTTCTACTAAACAGAAATTTAGGCCCTCAATCTTTTTTCCCCAAAAAAACAACACTTTATTTTGTCAGGTTATCCTATGAGTAATAAGAGCAACCATGGAATAAGTATAGGATATCCTATGATTTTGAGGGATATCATTGTTATCCACGAGTTGATATCAATATCTGGACGAGTGAGCGTAGCGAATGAGTGCAGATATTGATATCAACGAGTGGATTAAAATAATTTCACGAAAAACTCATAGGATGTTCTATTTATCCCATAGTTTACCGAACCATGGACGTAGGCCTATTTGGTATACGTCCACGACCTAACAAAGCATTTCAAAACAACATTCAGTTTTATTTTGTCATTTGAACTGTCAAAACATTAATCATTTCCATATTTGTGACGTCATGAAATTACCATGTAAGCTCATGTAACAATGCACGTCACATTGGGGGAGTTTTCAAATCTGTGGAAAAAAGTTATATCTGTGGAATATTCTCCGTGGAATATTCTCCATATTCCACAGATATCGCTTTTTTCCACGCATTTGCAAAATATCGTTAATATATATGTGTTATTCTACAGATTTACCTCAACTATGGGATAAAGGATTTTATTTCATGCATGTAGATATTTAAACTGTTATTTAACGTAACATTCAATTGCCCTAATTAATACACGAGCATCTCTTGAATGTGAAGCATTGCATACAATTTCATAATTGTGTACCATTTCAATACCCATTCTATGTCACTTACAGTTCTACATTTAGTCTAGGGAATTCGAGTTCAGACATAGGTGTCTACAGAACAGTTTACTGAATACTTTGTTGTGATATTGTGAATATGTAATGAAGATGGTTATGTACAATGAGTGAACAAAGAGTCATCGCGGGGTGAAGTAAGGTAACTGCAGCAGCCATTGCACAATATTTTGATACTACTACAGCAGGGTTGCCACTTTATTTTCAAATCGAATTTCTTTCCACATTTTCCTGATTCAAGTATGGAATTCCACGACAAAATGCTGTTCTTTACCAACAAAATATTGCAGTGGAGATCACTGATTTTGTGTATTAGTGGACGACTTAGCCCATTGTTCCCTTTGTTATTTTCCACTATTACAGCAATTAATTTAGGATCTTTAGTTAAGAAGTCCTTGGTTAATGATGCGAAAGGCAGTTTAAAAAAGATGTAACCTTTATGTCCTCACATTTTTGTCACAGTAACTTCTTAAAAACAAGTCTCTCACACTGCTCACATTTAAGCATTCACATGATGGGATTTAAATGACAGATCTGCCTATGACACAGATTTGACAGTTTTAGCTGACCCTGATTTAGAAGAAATTAGTCTCTCCACCATGGTTCGTGCATACCGCAGTCTACTAGCAAGTTCTTTACTGCAACCATATTTTTCTATGTCTGTTAGTCTAAAAACTTTGAATTCTCTGTTTTCATCAATATATGTAGCTGCTCCCATGAGTGGACATACAATGATCTTTGTGTGGTCTTGAAAAAAGTTGATCTGAAAATAAAAATCAATATATTATTCCATATCCTTAAAGAGATCGGGTCTCCTAAAAACACAATTCGAGTAACCCCCTGGTTTTTTCGTGTTATTTGATTTAGAACAAGTTTGTTTATCAACTTAACAATTCTGAGGCTTTAATTCGTTAACAGTATCAATTCGATGATTGTTCCTAGCCATGAATTTCCACTTACATCAATAGAAATTCAATTAAAATTTAAAAAACCCACTCAAATTTCTTTTTAATGGGATTTTATCGTCGCGAATTCTGTGCATGCATTAAGCTCTTGTGATAATGTATCATATGAAATCCTGTTTTCGAACAATTTGGGTTGTGAATCGCCACAATAAAGCTTCTTCGATATGGTCAATGACAACGGAATCTGAATTTGAGTAATTTAGAAAGACAACAGCATATGGAAATTACTGTGTTCATTGTCCAGTATCTCAATTTGATTGGTTAAATTTAGGACTTTATTTCGATGGTACAACATTATCAACTGTACAATGAGTATCAAGACACTTTGATTGATTGTTGTTCAAAAGCAATATAGTCAAGGTGCTCTTTTAAACATACAATTCATTAAAATCTAATTGAAGCGACAATTATGTCCGCCATTTGTGACAACGGTATCTGACTTCACCATAGTCAGACTATTCCGGGGTGAATATTCTAAAAGTTGCCATACCATGTCCACTGTATGTACAGAGATCGCCTAGTATTAAAAGTGGGTGATCAAAGACTCGACAAGATGCGCAAATTCCAAAATGTCAGAGGAAAGGTATGTTTGTTTGTCTTCTCTTTACCAGTTTAAAGTCATTTTACCTACAGATGGTATTCCATATGCTGTATAAGAGACTCAAGATTCATTTGGTAACATGATTCAGTGATTAAATCAACCGAAATACCTGAACTGAGTTGATAAAAGAAGCAAAATCAAAAACCCGTCGAACGAAAATGTATTTTTCACAAAATTTTCTGTTTTTAGATTGCCAAAAACCACAAAACCAATATCATCTATGGTTAATATACATAAAACTTAACATTACATGCATATCAGACGTTCCAACTCCCCTTCAGTATCGAGTAAGGAGGATGTTATAAAAAAATTTATGATCAGCCAAGTGAGTGATTTTACCATGTGGATTCTAATGATATGTTCTTTGCATATCAGAGTGGTTGGATTTACATGTTTCTATTGTCCTTCACTACGAACTGTTAAATTTCAAAACATTATAAATCACCTTATAGAACATCATGAAGATGAAATGATGAAGATGAGAAAGATTATTGAAAATAGAGGCAAATTTAGAATGATTAGAAGATTTATGAGCTTGACAAGTAAAGATTTGGTTTTAATTATAAATCAAACAAATCTTTAATGTACATATGACCAAAGCCTAAACTGGAACTTTTCCTCAGCCCATCCACATAACGCTGTCTAGAATAGCAGAGTATTTATTTCACTTTGTCTCTCTAAAAACGCCCACTGGGCGTTTATTTTGCATTCGATTACATACAATTCTAACATTTTCAAGCTAATCACCTATACACCTTAGTTGAAAATTGATCAATAAATCTTCTGAATATTGAACTATAGAGCAGCTTTCCCCTATACCTATCATTTACATATGACCCAAGTGAGCCACCTCGTGGTGAAACTGGGAACTGACTACTGGCATCTACTGAAGGTCATTACATTTTTCTATAACTTATTGATACCTTGCTGCAAAAGAATGATTTAACTCCCCAATGAAATAGAAAGTGTTTAATTCAGATTTAATAAGTTTATTATGAGACCCCATGTCCATAACAACCACAATCATGACAATGGATGATACAGTGACATACATTTTCATTTATGATTTATTCAATTCTTGCATTACAATTCGACAATCTTCTTGGATGCCAAGCTGTTAAGTTTTCATACCTTGGAATCAGAGGGTAAAATAAATGGACTGAAATGTGACTTTAAAAACTGTTCCATTTATAAGGTGTTACGCTTCAAGAGGTTTTTCTCATATCATATTGTATTCAAACATAGACAGAATAACAAAATATACGCACACAGTGACCATTTAATTGAATGAATCAATGAACGGTGATGTACATGTTTATTTTAATTTAGACATACATTTTGCATGAAACCCCATTTTTCTTCTCTTTAAAGCATATAGTGTATGATCTGCTGAAACTCACGCTATAGGCCGATCAATTCATTTCTGTGTTAAAATATTTATTCCATGTTATTTAAGAGGAAACGTGGACTTTATCATGGTCAAATGGAAGCCCAAGACCCTACCTAAGTATAAAAATTAAAGTGAGTAAAAATCTTCTATTGTTTTTGATATTTTAAAGCTTTTTAAATAAAACAGCACATATTATATCGCATTTATATCTTTACATCGTAAAATCAATCTTATATACGAAAAATGGTCAAAGTAATATATATTTTTCAAAGCATATGGGTGTTCTTGTGCCTACAAAACCTTATTGAATCACCAGTAGCGTGTAATATAAACACAAATAAATCTTTTAAAAATAACCGTTACAAGATATTTGAATTTTGCGCATCTTGTCGAGTCTTTGATCACCAACTTTTAATACTAGGCGATCTCTGTACATACAGTGATGTCTGTCATCCAAAATGCCTGATGATTTTGTTTTTCTGACACTTCCACAGTCATAATTCAATGATCATAATGATGTAGCAGGTATGACAAGTGCAATGTATTATGATACATTGTACAAAATTGAAAACCTATATATAAAATATGGAGAGTCATATATTTTAGAAATAAATGAATTACAATGTCAAGTAACAAGTGAAGATGTTTTAAATGCACTGATTTGCTTTCTACCAATACAGGTTTTTAACTGTATGCTGCAAAATGATAACATTGACCACGCCCACTTTCCATGGGTAGGGTACTATAGTCATATTAAAAATCATAAATAGTACATTATCATTATTATAATTGTATTACAATATCAAACAAAGTTTGAATTAGTTTTTAGAAAACAATTTTGAGCTATTTAAGCTGCCATCTTTTGCTGGAAGCTACAAATATAAAATAGGTGCGACTTCAAAATGACTAAAATTGCATATTTTTTTCCTATTAATTGCAATATTTCTGAGACTAATACAGATATCGGCCTATAACTTTAGGATAGTATTCATCTTTGGACTAGTAATGTGTGCTGTAGAAAGCAGAACAATAGCAACTATACCCTTTATGTTATGAAATAGTCTTATAGTATCCCCTGAAATCGCAGGAATTGAAGTCCAATTCGGCCGTGGAAATTCTTTTTACCACTTTAAAGCCCATCACCTTATATTTTCTTACACCTACTAGGTTACTCTAACATACTACATTCAGTGATCTCCGCACAATATGATTCACCAGGCGGGCCCGGCCCGCCTGGTTGAACATTTCCTGCGCCTAGTTGGCGCCTAATTATTTCTCCAGCCTTAATGATTAACTATTAATGTTGATCGGGTACTCCAAAATTGTCACTTTTGGGACCAGAGGCCTAATTCATGAAAGATCCGCAAGCTTGCGTGTCCGTTGTGTATTTGCGGACCCATTGCGTGTCCGCATTTTATTGCGTTGCGTGGTATTCATGAAGCTATCCGCAAATCCATTAGGTGTCCGCATGTAATTTCCGTGTCCGCAATCTGTGGTCATGACGACCGTGTCACTTATTAGGGCAGGAATGTCAGTTTGACCCATTTTAGCTATAGCGTCCCTTGTAAATAATGACCTCGGAGTCACATTTTTTATCAACAATGGCCATAATACTGGAATTTTTACTTCTAATTCATGGTTTTACCTCGGGGTTTTACCGGTTTTTACATCAACATTTTGTAGCACCTTGCATTAGTATAGTAGAGCCGGGCAAAGGCAAAATGGATCTTGCATCCTCTAGAAATTAAAGGGAGATGGTTCACATTTCCGAGAATATAATTACAACAATATACCTGCATTAAAGGGAAGTGCTTACAATCGTTTTATTTGATGCTTCATTCTTGCAGATTCTATCAATATGCGTTTTGATATATAACAATTTAATGCATACGATATCTTTCCAGTAATTCGTGTACGTCAAAAGTCTCTGGGGGATCTCTAAAGACACGTTTACGTCTCACGTTTCTCCAATTGCTTCCAGAGAGTACTTATTATTGATATTCAAAATGACGATAATTATATTAAGGTTGTCGTGTATGTTCGTAATTAACCTTCTGTTTTTATGCATTTTACGAAGCAAATGTTCTCACAAGTCTTTTCTAGGTACATTAGTGCACTTTTTTGTGCAAAATTGAAAACCAGAACAACGGCAACGCCAAAGCGTAGCGAATCCCATCGAACAGAAATGGCTGGCATTTTTACAAACGAATAGCAAATATCATAAAACAACACACCAGAAAGGCCACCATTTTCAAAATGGTTGCTCACTAGCCAAGTTGTCATCAGGAGAAATAATATGCTTTTAAGAAGCCACCTCTAAAATTTTTGAAAAATCGCACACGTACTTGTAAAATAACACACATAAAAATGGTGGCCATTTTTCAAAATGGCTGACTACTCCCCAAAGTTTTATTAGACAATGTGCCATGCTTAAAGTATTCACATATCAAATATGAACAAAATCGCTCCACTACTTTTCGAGTTATAGTAAAATACGTTAACATGGCGGCCATTTTTCAAAATGGCCACCTTCTACCAAGAGTGTCATTAGAAATGGACAGTGTGCCGTGCTTATAGTATTCACATACCAAATATGAACAAAATCGCTCTACTACTTTTCGAGTTATAGTAAAATGTTAAAATGGCGGCCATTTTTCAAAATTTTTTCAAAATGGCCACCTTCTACAAAAAGTGTCATAGGACAGTGTGCCATGCTTATAGTATTCACATACCAAATTTGAACAAAATCGCTCCACTACTTTTCGAGTTATAGTAAAAAACGTTAAAATGGGGGCCATTTTTCAAATAGGACAGTGTGCCATGCTTACAGTATTCACATACCAAATATGAACAAAATCGCTCCACTACTTTTCGAGTTATAGTAAAATACGTTAAAATAGCGGCCATTTTTCAAAATGGCCGCCTTCTACCAAAAGTGTCTTTAGACAGTGTGCAATGCTTATAGTATTCACATACCAAATATGAACAAAATCGCTCCACTATTTTTTGAGTTACAGCAAAAATCGTAAAATGACGAGTAAAGGCCGCCATTTTTCAAGATGGCTGCCATGTGCTTCTTTAATATCTACATTTGTAGCATTATTAATGTCCTTTATAATTTTTTTACATTTAAAACATATTGCTATTACAGTTTTACATATTGCATCTAAATTACTGTAAAATCTGCACTAAAATGGCCGCCATTTTGAAATGAGTGGCCATTTTGAAAATCGGCTTTTGAGCAGAACTTCTACCCCCATAGGGTATATGTGTACAAAATATGAACAAAATCGGGCCAACGGTATTTGAGTTATTGCCCGGACGGACGGACAGACGGACGGACGTACGTACGGACGGACGTACGTACGGACAGACGTACGTACGTACGTACGGACGGACGGAGGCGTTCCCTATATCCCTCCGAACTTCGTTCGATGGGATAATAAAGACAATGAATGTGATGAAAGAGTGATTCCTAATTGAAAAATAACATGTGACTTTATTGAAGATTGCAGCAAAATTCCGAACATACAAACTAACCTTAAAGTTGTGGTGTTCCGCAACCTTAAAAATCTTAAAAACATACACTGAACAGGTTGCTTTTACATCCATATTTGAACATCTATATCACATTCAATTTTTAATTTTTTTATCGGGAAACTTAACCTGTTAAAAGGACAATACCAGGTTTACGCATGCACATATTACCATCACTGAAAGGTAATGTTAAGTGTTTTTTCAAGAGGATTCATTCATACTGAATTTTCAGAGAGTGACTTGCGGTAAGTACAGAGGTTCCGCACGATAATGACGCAATTCTCGCGGTACCGCAAGATATCTGCGGTGATGCTGACTTTGCGGTCCCTTTGTGAATTAGAAATAGCGGTACCGCAATGAGTTGCGGAATTTGGCAGGCTTGCGGAGCTTTCATGAATTAGACCTCTGATTTCAAGTCTAAAATACAGGTTATTGACGCTATATTTAGCTCTAAAACTTGTTATACAACCAGAACAACGGCAACGCCAAAGCGTAGCGAATCCCATCGAACAGAAATGGCTGGCATTTTTACAAACGAACCATCATCAGAAGAAATAATATGCTTTTAAGTAAAGCCACCTCTAAAATTTTTGAAAAATCGCACACATACTTGTAAAATAACACACATAAAAATGGTGGCCATTTTTCAAAATGGCCGACTACTCCCTTAAGTTTTATTAGACAATGTGCCATGCTTAAAGTATTCACATATCAAATATGAACAAAATCGCTCCACTACTTTTCGAGTTATAGTAAAATACGTTAAAATGGCGGCCATTTTTCAAAATTGTTTTCAAAATGACCCTTCTACCAAAAGTGTCATAGGACAGTGTGCTGTGCTTATAGTATTCACATACCAAATATTAACAAAATCGCTCCACTACTTTTCGAGTTATAGTAAAATACGTTAAAATGGCGGCCATTTTTCAAAATTGTTTTCAAAATGACCCTTCTACCAAAAGTGTCATAGGACAGTGTGCCATGCTTATAGTATTCACATACCAAATATGAACAAAATCGCTCCGCTACTTTTCGAGTTACAGCAAAAGTCGTAAAACAACGTGTAAAGGCCGCCATTTTTCAAGATGGCTGCCATATGCTTTTATATCTACATTTGAAGCTTTATTTATGTCCTTTATAATTATTTTACATTTAAAACATATTGCTATTACAGTTTTACATATTGCACCTAAATTACTGTAAAATCGGCACTAAAATGACCGCCATTTTGAAATGAGCGGCCATTTTGAAAATCGGCTTTCCAGCAGAACTTCTACCCCCATAGGGTATATGTGTACAAAATATGAACAAAATTGGGTCAATGGTATTTGAGTTATTGCCCGGACGGACAGACGGACGGACGGAGGCGTTCCCTATATCCCTCCGAACTTCGTTCAATGGGATGATAAGATTGGGTTTGGAACTCAACAAATATAGCAATAAATTATCGCTACCTTATCTAATTGCACTTCAATTTAATAAAATGCAAACCAGGAAGTGTTTTGTAATAGGTGAGACTTCACAATCAATAAATGTTGATCGGGTAGTTACTGCCGATCAACATTAACAAAATCTTAATTCGATAAAATGAAGGGCTGTCTAACCTCTACGAGGACATCTCAAGTGCTGCAGACAATACAACAATTAAAATCTTAATAATCTCAACTGAAAACCACATTTCAAGTGTAAACCTGCATAAACTGAGAGAAGACCGAAAGCAGAACTATCTCACAATGAATAGCATGGGAATATCCTCCCTTTATATTTTGTCTAATTGTTTACATAAAGTGGAATCTGACTAGGGAGGGACAGTCCCAATATTCTATTATATGGCTGTGAGTGTCCTCCATTAGACAAGCTCAACAGAAAAACAGAGAGATCATTCTGTCAATCAACTGGACAGCACTCAAACATTAGAGGGGATTTTCAAGATCAAAATAATATCATCAACCTGTTTCTCAGTTCAATGTTTCTCCTGAATAACTGCAAATAACAAGATTTGAGATAACCAGAACAACGGCAACGCCAAAGCGTAGCGAATCCCATCGAACAGAAATGGCTGGCATTTTTACAAACGAAATATATAGCAAACATCATAAAACAACACACCAGAAAGGCCACCATTTGCAAAATGGTTGCTAACTAGCCAAGTTGTCATCAGAAGAAATAATATGCTTTTAAGTGGCCACCTATAAAATTTTTGAAAAATCGCATACATGTACTTGTAAAATAACACACATAAAAATGGTGGCCATTTTTCAAAATGGCTGACTACTCCCCAAAGTTTTATTAGACAATGTGCCATGCTTAAAGTATTCACATATCAAATATGAACAAAATCGCTCCACTACTTTTCGAGTTATAGTAAAAAAATGTAAACATGACAGCCATTTTTATAAAATGGCCGCCTACTATCTGAAGTGTCATGAGACAGTGTGCAAGGCTCATGATTATTCACATATCAAATATGAACAAAATTTTTCAAAATGGCCGCCTTCTACCAAAAGTGTCATAGGACGGTGTGCCATGCTTATAGTATTCACATACCAAATATGAACAAAATCGCTCCACTACTTTTCGAGTTATAGTAAAATACGTTAAAATAACGAGCAAAGGCCGCCATTTTTCAAGATGGCTGCCATGTGCTTCTTTAATATCTACATTTGTAGCTTTATTAATGTCCTTCATAATTTTTTTACATTTAAAACATATTGCTATTACAGTTTTAGATATTGCACCTTAAGTACTGTAAAATCGGCACTAAAATGGCCACCATTTTGAAATGAGCGGCCATTTTGAAAATCGGCTTTCGAGCAGAACTTCTACCCCCATAGGGTATATGTGTACAAAATATGAACAAAATCGGGCCAATGATTATTTGAGTTATTGCCCGGACGGACGGACGTATGTACGGACGGAGGCGTTCCCTATATCCCTCCGAACTTCGTTCGATGGGATAATAAAAACTAATGCATAAGAGTATCCCTGAAAATGAATCCATGAAAGTTGAAATTTTCCAACAAATTTTACGAGAGGGGCAAAGTACCTCTGTTGCTACTCAGAAAAAAGTTTGACAGGACCAATTTTAAGCCCCAACAAAAATGGCAACAGAGAAAAATTGAATTTTAGCACCCTGTATTGCCATTTTATTAATGGTTATATTTCAATGTGTTATGAAGAGCTATATTGATTAAGTCAGCATGTTTATAATTTAAAAATGTGAGCGAAGGGAGCAGCGAATTTTTAGGGTGACAAAATTTTGCACCCAGTTGGGAAAAAATCCTTGGGAGAACACTGACATTGCCAAAAGTTACTTCTTGCTAACTTCCGGCAAAAGTCTGCCAGCATCTGATACAAAAACTGAATATCGTGATGAGTGATTTATTTCAGACTGCACCTGGACAATATATCATCTCTAATTATTTTAATTTACACACTATTTTGACAAAAATACTATGAAAAATGTAAAATTTTACATTTTGGCTTGCAGAATTCTAGTGGCCCAAAGTACTGCATGATCTGTATACCACATACAGATTTTGGAAAAATATGGCAGTTTTATTTTTGATTTTCACACTATTTCAACAAAAATACTGTGAAAAATGGGGCGATAAATTCACATTTTGTAGAATTTTGATATTGTAGCACAGAATTCTAGTGACAGTTGTGGCCCCGTTTACTGCATGATCTGTATACTAAGGGTGATGATCCTTACTTGTAATGTTCCATTGCTGAGGTGAAGCACTATGGCACTGCGGGTACGGAACCAAGTCCTTAGGAATGGTAAACGTACCATGTCATCACTCTCCCTAGGGGTCATGTTAGCACCTGCCTACAAAAGAAATCGTTAATGTCGTAATGTAGTAACTTTCAATATGTTAAAATTTAGAAAAATAAGATCCTCTTTATAGAAAATGAGCCTTACATTTTTAAAAAGTGCAAAGATGGGGTCCTAATCCATAATTGTCTACCCTATGTCAGTTGTGCAAAGCGACATTGAAATCCGCTGCAGGTTTTGTATTTTTGTGATTGAAACTTTTTGTAAATAGTAAAAAATTTAATTTTAAGAATTAGAGTAGACCGCGATCTTTATTAGACTTCAATCCATTCCCTATCTTGTAACATTTTTAGGACTGATATATACACTTTTTCATGTCAGGTTGAGAATATGGCAAACACCTCCCACCTCGCCCATTGCACTGTTATTCATTTATAAGATTGAAAATAAAATTATATCCCCTAATACAAAATAAAAGTGAAACACCTTTTTATGTTGTTTATGTTTTACTGTTCACACTAGTAATTCACAAAAGTAACTTAAAACTAGAATCCTATCAACAGAATTTTGGCTTGAAAATGTATAGAAGACTTCATTGACAAAATTTTAGGATAAAAAAAGCCGATATAAATTTTTGCCGATTTTTAAGAACAAAATTGTCTCATAAAACCACCTTTAACAAAATAAGTGGGTGGGTCACCAGTAATTATTTATAAAGCTACTAAATGCTCAAAACGTGAATTTTTCTGTGCCAAAATGGTAGCTATTTTGAAAATAGTGGAGGTTTCTGTATTGATGATGAGCCATAACTAAAAAGAAAAAAAAAAACTGTGGAATGATGAAAGAAAGCATAATACTAAGAATAGTGATTAAGTCCAATAGAGATTTTGGAAAGCTTACTTTGAGAAGATGTTCACTCATGTAGTTGCGGAAGTATTTTAGGAGAGTAATCTTCTTGTGCAGAGTTGTGGGGTAGACAGTTAGTGTGTGGAAGTGCTCATTGCCATCTCGCTCAATGTACTGAACATTTCTGTAATAAGAATTGTAAAATTGTAGACACTATAAGACAATGAAGCCAATTTATTATCTTTGCAAATTCATGTCCAGGATTTTTAATCACAAAGAACTAATTCAAAATCAGATTATTTTTGTCCAAAACTAGTTGTTAGAAAGTCTATTGTGACGTAAAATAGGCAGTAAAAACAACTTACGCCCCATTTCCAGTAAGGATTAGTCGTGTAGAATCATTAAACAAGACTCCAACACTGTTGTCACATAACTGGAAGCCTAGGCCATATTTATCAGAGTAGTCCACCCATTTACTAATCCAGTATATAGGGGTAGCTGTTGGGTAGAGGGCATCGTCTGAAACATGCAAAAGATATCCTCTTTTCTCATATGTAAAATTAGCTGCTGCTGGTTTGAAACGGTAGCCATTGTACAGCTTCCAAGTCACCTCCACCATTTCTACTATTATTGTTTGAAGTATTTCATTCAGTTATTTATGATAGCCAAGCCCTAAATGACAACCTAATCCTAAAGGTGTCCAGTTGTTTAAAGGCAGAATCTGATCTATAGGGGGTGACAAAATAACAAGCAACATGTATAATACCAATCTATTCCTTACAATATCTCCCAAAAGATTCACAATATGTTATAAATTGGTGAAGTTATTAATGATTCAAAGTGCAAGAATGAGTGAAAAATGTTTAAATTCTCCCAAATAATAAGAATGGTAACCATTCTTATAGAAAATAATACATTATTGTAAAAATCTTTAGTATTCCTGGAATAAAGTGTGCACTTCAGGGATTTCTAGAAAACAGACATGACAAGGAATGATGTGAGCCAAAAATATTCTAAAACTAGAAAAAATAATGTTCGTGGATACCTTCCTTTGAGTTAACGATATCAGCTGGTTTAGCTGCAACAACCGATGTCAAACAAGCAAGGAGATCAGAAAGCCAGTAATCAGCGGGCTCCTCCCTATCACGTTTGCCCAAATCACCAGCTACATTGTTTTTATCACTGTCCTTCTCTATGGTTGAAGAGGGGCGAGAATTTTGGGCTGGAAACAAGTATTCATTTATGAGATGTATTTCATCAGACCCTTCATATTCACTTATAGGGTTATTAAACCTTTGCCGCTAATGCATTAGATAAGCATTTAACATGTTTAAGTAATTATAAAGCATGTGTAAAATGTTGAATGTAATCTGCCTAATAATCATACCCTACAATCCTTTTCTGAGTAAAAAGAACTGAGATTTCTGATCAAATATAACTTGAACTTGCAGTGGGTGATGAAGATTTTCTGCGCTTATTGAGTTGATTTCCATGTTCTTTTCAAAACAAACTTACTAATTTTTCAACACAAAATAGATTAGATTGTTTGCTTGGCATTTATGAATTATTGCTATTTATTATAGATGTGTGTGACAACTCAACTTTTACTTCTTATTAGTTCAATTTTTCAAAGAAAAACTTTTTGGAATTACAATAACATAATACACTGTATGTACAGAGATCGCCTAATATTAAAAGTGGGTGATCAAAGACTCGACAAGATGCGCAAAATCCAAAATGTCGGAGGAAAGGTATGTTTGTTTGTCTTCTCTTTACCAGTTTAAAGTCATTTTACCTACAGATGGTATTCCATATGCTGTATAAGAGACTCAAGATTCATTTGGTAACAGGATTCGGTGATTAAATCAACCGAAATACCTGAACTGAGTTGATAAAAGAAGCAAAATCAAAAACCGTCGAACGAAAATGTATTTTTCACAGAATTTTCTGTTTTTAGATTGCCAAAACCACAAAACCAATATCATCTATGGTTAATATACATAAAACTTAACATTACATGCATATCAGACGTTCCAACTCCCCTTCAGTATCGAGTAAGGAGGATGTTATGAAAAAAAATTATGATCAGCCAAGTGAGTGATTTTACCATGTGGATTCTAATGATATGTTCTTTGCATTTCAGATTGGTTGGATTTACATGTTTCTATTGTCCTTCACTACGAACTGTTAAATTTCAAAACATTATAAATCACCTTATAGAACACCATGAAGATGAAGAGATGAAGATGAGAAAGATTATTGAAAATAGAGGCAAATTTAGAATGATTACAAGAAATTTCTCTGGAATAATACCAAATGAAGTGAAATCAATAAATAAACACATAATTGTAGAAAGTGATGAATTTATGACAATTTCAGTGATTGACAATAATCGAATGAAATCATCCAAAATATCTGATTGAACTTTTCCTCAGTCCCATCCACATAACGTTGTTTAGAATAGTATAGTATTTATTTCACACTTTGTTTCTCTAAAAACGCCTACTGGGCGTTTATTTTGCATTCGATTACATACAATTCTAACATTTTCAAGCTAATCACCTATACACCTTAGTTGAAAATTGATCAATAAATCTTCTGAATATTGAACTATAGAGCAGCTTTCCCCTATACCTATCATTTACATATGACCCAAGTTAGCCACCTCGTGGTGAAACTGGGAACTGACTACTGGCATCTACTGAAGGTCATTACGTTTTTATATAACTTATTGATACCTTGCTGCAAAAGAATGATTTAACTCCCCAATGAAACAGATAGTGTACAATTCAGATTTAATAAGTTTATTATGAGACCCCATGTTCATAACAACCACAATCATGAAAATGGGTGATACATTGACATACATTTTCATTTATGATTTATTCAATTCTTGCATTACAATTCGACAATCATCTTGGAAGCCAAGGTGTAAAGTTTTCATACCTTGGAATCAAAGGGTAAAATAAATGGACTGAAATGTGACTTTAAAAACTGTTCCATTTATAAGGTGTTACGCTTCAAGAGGTTTTTCTCTTAGCAGTGTACAGTGTACATATCGTATTGTATTCAAACAAAGACAGAATAACAAAATATACGCATACAGTGACCATTTAATCGAATGAATCAATGAACGGTGATGTACATGTTTATTTTAATTTGGACATACATTTTGCATGAAACCCCATTTTTCTTCTCTTTAAAGCATATAGTTGTGGGTGTATGATCTGCTGAAACTCACGCTATAGGCTGATCCATTCATTTCTGTGTTAAAATATTTATTCCATGTTATTTAAGAGGAAACGTGAACTTTATCATGGTCAAATGGAAGCCCAAATCCCTACCTAAGTATAAAAAATTGAGTAAAAAGTGAGTAAAAATCTTCTCTTGTTTTTGATATTTTAAAGCTTTTTAAATAAAACAGCACATATTATATCGCATTTATATCTTTACATCGTAAAATCGATCATATATACGAAAAATGGTCAAAGTAATATATATTTTTCAAAGCATATGGGTGTTATTGTGCCTACATAACCTCATTGAATCACCAGTAGCGTGTAATATGAACACAAATAAATCTTTTAAAAATAACCGTTACACGATATTTGAATTTTGCGCATCTTGTCGAGTCTTTGATCACCCACTTTTAATATTAGGCGATCTCTGTACATACAGTGTAATATAACATTTTTGATAAATGTAACAAAAAACAATAATGTGGTGTTAACTTTTCTGGGGGCCTTTAAACAAATGCAAAAATGTAAATTCATTTGAATGAGCAAAATTTTTTATCAGCATCATTTAGAAAAATGCTTTTTTAAAACAGCAAATTCAGAGGCACACTTACAATTAATATCTATAAGAGGTTTCCTGGAGGTCATTGATTCACGTCTTACCATCATGTCGAACCTGGGGGCCATAGTTAAACAACTGGTAGGTATTGATACAGGTAGGAGACCTAAAATACACATACATTCAAACTGTAGTACTTATAGCTTAGTGTCAGTCAAGATCATTGTGGTTAATTTTTCTAACACCCAAAGTCATTAAATTTTCAAATATGACACGAAAAAGTTAATATTTGGCAAGTTATAGACAATTTAATTTTTGATATAACCATTGCTCCATCAATTCATCAAAAGTAGGTGCGTATATACATAAGATCAATGGCCAAGGCTAATACCATGATTCTAAAGACTGTACAAGTATATTGTATTAGTAAAAAGGGGACACACAAGGGAATCAGAACCTAAAAGATTCCCTGTAAAACCTTACCTTCGGTAAAGAAGTCATCATTGTATATATCAGCCATGCTTGGACGGGATCCAGGATCAGACTTGAGCAATTTTGTTATGAGGTTCTTAGCAGATGTACTAACTCTAGTGCTGGGTATATGGTATTCATTACGTTTGATGCGTTGATATGTATCTTTTAGGCAACTTGTCTCAAATGGTGGCTTGCCTACTAACAGTGTGTACCTGCAACAAAGTGAATGTCACTACATCAATGTTTATATTACAGATAATCAACTTTCTTAAAGCCCCCACATATGTTAAGTTTAAGATTAAAAACGATCGCTATCACTTTCATTTTTCAACAAATTTAATATAGTGTCACGTGACATGTGACGCGGGGCAGTCAATTTAGATCCATCGTAGACCATATCACCTGACCATCAAACAAATTACCAATATTTCAACTACCTCTTGCGAGGGCATTTTAATTTGAAACATCTTGAATTTGGTGTCAAATTAAAGCTGGTCACGTCCACTTTCTATATTAACCTTTAGCATGCTGCCGGTGAGTGTATCCGCCTGTGCTTTACTATCCTAAGGGACTGCCGTTGGATCCATCCACCCGGGTTTAAACCTTTAAAAACTTAACTTTTTCTCTCCATTCTTATGATCCAATTGAATTTCACAATTTATTCAGTGCCTTACTTGACTTCCTGCTGACCTATATTCAACAATTTAAACGGTGTTTTCACACTACCCTACCTCGATCGCGCATGCGCGAATATTTAGTTTTCAACCACACGGTCTCCGATACTACCCAACGTAAATCGTTCCAGACTTGTTTTTCATAACCATTTGGACTTGATTTATGGAAAAGAGTAGAGGTAGGTTTGTAAATTTGGTTATGAAATTGCTTTCACTTGACTTTATGTAAATATAATACAACCAGAACAACGGCAACGCCAAAGCGTAGCGAATCCCATCGAACAGAAATGGCTGGCATTTTTACAAACTAAATATATAGCAAATATCATAAAACACACCAGAAAGGCCACCATTTTCAAAATGGTTGCTCACTAGCCAAGTTGTCATCAGAAGAAATAATATGCTTTTAAGTAGCCACCTATAAAATTTTTGAAAAATCGCACACATGTACTTGTAAAATAACACACATAAAAATGGTGGCCATTTTTCAAAATGGCCGACTACTCCCCAAAGTTTTATTAGACAATGTGCCATGCTTAGAGTATTCACATATCAAATATGAACAAAATCGCTCCACTACTTTTCGAGTTATAGTAAACTACGTTAAAATGGCGGCCATTTTTCAAAATGGCCACCTTCTACCAAAAGTGTCATAGGACAGTGTGCCATGCTTATAGTATTCACATACCAAATATGAACAAAATCGCTCCACTACTTTTCGAGTTATAGTAAAATATGTTAAAATGGCGGCCATTTTGAAAAATGGCCGCCTTCTACCAAAAGTGTCTGTAGACAGTGTGCAATGTTTATAGTATTCACATACCAAATATGAACAAAATCGCCCCACTACTTTTCGAGTTACAGCAAAAATCGTAAAATAACGAGTAAAGGCCGCCATTTTTCAAGATGGCTGCCATGTGTTTTTTTAATATCTACATTTGTAGCTTTATTAATGTCCTTTATAATTTTTTTACACTAAAAACATATTGCTATTACAGTTTTACATATTGTACCTAAATTACTGTAAAATCGGCACTAAAATGGCCGCCATTTTGAAATGAGCGGCCATTTTGAAAATCGGCTTTCGAGCAGAACTTCTACCCCCATAGGGTATATGTGTACAAAATATGAACAAAATCGAGCCAACGGTATTTGAGTTATTGCCCGGACGGACGTACGTATGTACGGACGGACGGAGGCGTTCCCTATATCCCTCCGAACTTCGTTCGATGGGATAATTAGATAACTTACCATACTATATACCCTATCTTCAGGCACCCGCAAACGCCTTTTTTGTACGAACTGTTTGATGTAGTCTTGTTATTTCGAGATGCGAGCAATTCTGCCAGTGTTTTTACCTATTTTGCCTTATAATCACCAGCCTGCCTTGAATCCAATGAATACACCGATTCATAATGAAAGTAGCCACATTGTGAACGAAAATCATGATTTAAAATGGTATAAATGAGTAGCAATTGTCAAAAGAATATTTTTTAGATTTAACCATTTGGACGTGACCTAAATATTCCAGTTAATGATGTTGACTTGTTATTGGAACGTTTCTGACTAGTGTTATTGGAACGTTTCTGACTTGTAGAACACAATGAACCATTTTTAAGTGTGGAACAGCTCCATAAACTTTATAGATTTCCAACAAATCATCAGAGTGGATGAGGACAGTGGAAGAAGTTGTCTGAGTGATACTATCTAAATGATCATCATTAATTAAACGTATTAAGAGATACTTGTCAAGGTTGAATTAGGGAATCATTACAGGTTTAGACTAGTGGTACAACTCGCAAGAAAAATGCTACTCGAGTAGAAAGTGTGAAAATGCCACTGTAATCGAGTACCACTCGCAAAAATGAGGGAAAAATTTAAAAAAATAAAAAACTCACCTAGTCGACTGTTTGAAGACCAAATAGATACAATTTCTTCGTTTCTTCTATATGTTATTGATGTTATATATAGTTTGTATCAATTTAGTGAGAATAAATGTAGTTATTCATGCCATAATTGTGTTTGTTTGTTTGTTTTTAAATATTTTCATTTTGTTTCCGGAATCGATATTTTGTTTCGTTCAGCGCAAAAAATCATCATTCCTGGGGTTTAAAACACTTCATGATAAAACATGCCTACTCGAGTTTGAAAAAACGTACTCGAGTAACTATCTTGGACAGGTTCAACGAGTGAGTGGCGAGTACTGGCATTCGAGTTGCACCACTAGTTTAGACTATGTGCGATGAGATTTGGTAGACACATTATAATGTTCCTCTACAATCTGTACCAATTTCATTGCGAAAATCCTAAATCTCTTAAAACCAGGACAATGGCAACGCCAAAGCGTAGCGAATCCCATCGAACAGAAATGACTGGCATTTTTACAAACGAATATCAAATATCATAAAACAACAGACCAGAAAGGCCACCATTTTCAAAATGGTTGCTCACTGCCAAGTTGTCATCGGAAGAAATAATATGCTTTTAAGTAGCCACATTTAAAATTTTTGAAAAATCGCACACATACTTGTAAAATAACACACATAAAAATGGTGGCCATTTTTCAAAATGGCCGACTACTCCCCAAAGTTTTACTAGACAATGTGCCATGCTTAAAGAATTCACATATCAAATATGAACAAAATCGCTCCACTACTTTTTGAGTTAAAGTAAAAATGTAAAAATGACAGCCAAAATGGCCGCCTTCTACCAAAAGTGTCATAGGACAGTGTGCCATGCTTATAGTATTCACATACCAAATATGAACAAAATTGCTCCACTACTTTTCGAGTTATAGTAAAATACGTTAAAATGGCGGCCATTTTTCAAGACACTTTTCGTAGAAGGTAGCCATTTTGTTCAGTGTGTCATGCTTATAGTATTCACATACTAAATATGAAAAAAATCACTCCACTACTTTTCCAGTTATAGTAAAATATGTTAAAATGGCGGCCATTTTCCAAAATGGCCGACTTCTACCAAAAGTGTCATTAGACAGTGTGCCATGCTTATAGTATTCCCATACCGAATATGAACAAAATCGCTCCACTACTTTTCGAGTTACAGCAAAAATCGTAAAATAACGAGTAAAGGCCGCCATTTTTCAAGATGGCTGCCATGTGCTTCTTAAATATCTACATTTCTAGCTTTATTAATGTCCTATATAATTTTTTTCATATTTAAAACATATTGCTATTACAGTTTTACATATTGCACCTTAATTACTGTAAAATCGGCACTAAAATGGCTGCCATTTTTAAATGAGCGGCCATTTTGATGGTATATGTGTACAAAATGGGGCCAACGGTATTTGAGTTATTGCCCGGACGTACGTACGTACGGAGGCGTTCCCTATATCCCTCCGAACTTTGTTCGATGGGATAATAAATCTGAGGGATGGTCCCTCTTGAATTGTTCAAAGAATATATTTTGATCTGCACTTTTAAAAGTACATTCGTGGCACTTATTTTTGGGAACTGAAATTACAAAATGTGTGAATATTTAGTAAGTGCAATTTTTCCAGAAGCATAGACAATTCATCAAGCAACGGAACGTATAAATACCATTACAAGACAATTCCTAATCGTTATTCTTATCACGTTGTGTACAATTCGCAGTCGTTCACCTAGGGATTATAAGACAAGTCCGTGTCAGAATAAGGACCATTCGCCGTCGTAAAGCAGATATGAAATGGTATTTTTAACCGAAAGGAATCAATATAATTTTTTGATAAATGTATTTGGACATGTTTTCTCATCAGTAGTGTGAAAATTATTTCACTCTACTGATCGTTATAGCTGCTTAATAAGCAATATTCGAATTGGTTGTGACGGTATTGACCCCCATGTGATCTCTCCACTGGTCCCCATGTGGCCCGTTTTGGTCCATTAGATCATGACGCCATAATGCCAAAATGTTTTGTTATTTGTTTACACAACAATCCTATGGTTGCCGTGACGTTGTGATTACTAAGGAACCAATAAACCAAAGCTATGTTTTGTATATGACGTTACTATTTTATAATGGCTGTCGCAAGAACTCTACGTTGGGCTTAGAATGGAGAAAACCGCATTTCTGTAGCTGCAAGTTGAGAAAAGCTATTTCAGTTGTCCTTTAACTCCACTTTTTACATTACGGTCATTCATGGAAATTTGAAGGTACAGATAGTTAAAATATTAACACGATCTTTAATGTAGTGAATATTGTTCCAAGTTAATATAGAATGATTTTTTTGTTTAAACATAGTTAAATGACACTAATGCAGATTTAGAGCATATTTCTGGCATTTTTGTTATTTAATGCCGATAAATATGAACTATGAAGGCACGATCGCCAAAATAGATATGTGGGTATGAAAATGAATGTTTTAGGTAGAAGTTAGTGTATGTTTTTTTCTAAACGATTGAATTATATTACCTTTTTGAGCCATTCTGATGAATGTCTCATCTCATTCTCCTACGAAATGAGTCCAAATGGTTATGAAAAACGAACGATTTACGTTGGGTAGTATCGGAGACCATGAACCAGGAGTATATCGA